GCCCCAGCGTTTCTTGGGGAATTCTGACGCAAGTGGGCCTGCGATTCAAAATTCTCTCTGGTATTCAAAAGTTCTTTCTAACTCTTGGAAATTCCTTATCGAATTCCTTTCTAACTCCGTTTCCCCTTCCTGGCCCCGGCGCTTCTTGGGCAATTCTTATCAGATAGTCTCTGAGATGCAGAATTCTCTCTGGTATCCAGAATTCCTTCCTAACTCTTGAAATTCCTTATTAAATTCCTTTCTAACTCCTTTTTCCGTCCTGGCCCAGACCTCTCGGCGTCGTAAAAAAACAAAACAAAACACAGACCCCCCAAAAAACAATTCCTTTCTAACTCTTGAAATTCCTTATTAAATTCCTGTCTAACTCCTTTTTCCTTCCTGGCCCAAACCCCCCGGCGCCGTAAAAAGACAAAGCCAAGAAACAACCCCAAAAAACGAAATTCCTTTCTAACTCTTGAAATTCCTTATTAAATTCCTTTCTAACTCCTTTTTCCTTCCTGGCCCAGACCTCTCGGCGTCGTAAAAAAAAACAAAACAAAACACAGACCCCAAAAAAATCAAATTCCTTTCTAACTCTTGAAATTCCTTATTAAATTCCTTTCTAACTCCTTTTTCCCTTCCTGGCCGAAACCTCTCGGCGTTGCAAAAAAAAAGCAACCCCAAAAAACGAAATTCCTTTCTAACTCTTGAAATGCCTTATTAAATTCTTTCTAACTCATTTTTCTTTCCTGCCCCAGACCTCTCGGCGTCGTAGAAAAACAAAACAAAAAAACAACCCCGAAAAACGAAATTCCTTTCTAACTCTTGATATTCCTTATTAAATTCCTTTCTAACTCCTTTTTTTTCCTTCCTGGCCCAGACTTCTCGGCGTCGTAAAAAACAAAACAGACCAACCACCAAGACGAAATTCATTTCTAACTCTTGAAATTCCTTACTAAATTCCTTGTTAACTCCTTTTTTCCCTTCCTGGCCCAGACCTGTCGGCGTCGCGAAAAAAACAAAACAAAAAACAGCCCCCCCAAAAACGAAATTCCTTTCTAACTCTTGAAATTCCTTATTAAGTTCCTTTCTAACCCCTTTTTCCTTCCTGCCCCAGACCTCTCGGCGTCGTGAAAAAAACAAAACAAAAAACAACTACCAAAAACTAAATTCCTTCCTAACTCTTGAAATTCCTTATTAAATTCCTTTCTAACTCCTTTTTCCTTCCTGGCCCAGACCTCTCGGCGTCGTGAACAAAAAAAAAAAAACGCCAACAGCTAAATTTCTTTTTTAACTCCTTGAAATTCCTTATTAAATTCCTTTCTAACTCCTTTTTCCCTTCCTGGCCCAGACCTCTCGGCGCGTAAAAAAACAGAAAACAGCCCAAAAAAACGAAATTCCTTTCTAACTCTTGAAATTCCTTATTAAATTCCCTTCTAATTCATTTTTCCTTCCTGGCCCAGACCTCTCGGCGTCGTAAAAAAACAAAACAAAAAACAATTTCAAAAAAAACGAAATTCCTTTCTAACTCTTGGAAATCCTTATTAAATTCCTTTCGAATTCCTGTTCCTTCCTGGCCCAGACCTCTCGGCGTCGTAAAAAACAAAACAAAAAAACACCACCAAAAACGAAATTCCTTTCTAACTCTTGAAATTCCTTTATTAAATTCCTTTCTAACTCCTTTTTCCTGCCTGGCCCAAACCTCTCGGCGCTGTAAAAAATGAAACAAAAAACAACCCAAAAAACAAAACTTCTTTCTAACTCTTGAAATTCCTTATCAAATTCCTTTCTAACTCCGTTTTTCCTTCCTGGCCCTGACCTCCCGGCGTCGTAAAAAAAACAAAACCAAAAACAGCCGCCAAAAAAGCGCAATTCCTTTCCAACTCTTGAAATTCCTTATTAAATTCCTTTCTAACTCCTTTTTCCTTCCTGGCCCAGACCTCTCGGTGTCGTTTAAAAAAAAATCCAAAAAAGCGAAATTCCTTTCTAACTCTTGATATTCCTTATTAAATTCCTTCTAACTCCTTTTTCTCTCCTGGCCCAGACCTCTCGGCGTCGTAAAAAAACAAAACAAACAATCAATTTCCCAAAAACGAAATTCCTTTCTAACTCTTGAAATTACTTATTAGATTCCTTTCTAACTCCTTTTTCCTTCCTGGCCCAGACCTCTCGGCGTCGTAAAAAAACAAAACAAAAAACCATCACCAAAAACGAAATTCCTTTCTAACTCTTGAAATTCCTTATTAAATTCATTTCAAACTCCTTTTTCCTTCCTGGCCCAGACCTCCCGGCGTCGTTTCTTTTTTGTTTAAAAACAACACCCAAAACGAAATTCCCTTCAAACTCTGGAAATTCCTTATCAATTTCCTTTCTAACTCCTTTTTTTCCCTTCCTGGCCCAGACATCTCGGCGTCGTTAAAAAAACAAAAAAACGACCCCAACAACGAAATTCCTTTCTAACTCTTGAAATTCCTTATCACATTCCTTTCTAACTCCTTTTTCTTCCCCGGCCCAGACCTCCTGGCGTCGTAAAAAAAACAAATTTAACGCAAAACAACTGAATTCCTTTCTAACCTTTGAAATCCCTTATCAAATTCCTTTATAACTCCTTTTTCCTTCCTGGCCCAGACCTCCCGGCGTCGTAAAAAACAGAAAAAACGCCGCGCGAAAGCTGCGTCGCAGCTACAGCTACAGCTACAGCTACAGCATTAATTGCTCAGCGAATTATTTACTGTAGCACCCTACAGTACAGCTACAGCATTAATTGCTCAGCGAATTATTTCTGTTAGGGAAAAAAATCAATGGTAAGTCGGATCGAGTCGAAATGTGCATCGAATCGGGCTGCATCATCATCGAAATCGAATCGGATCGGCTGCGCCAGGACTCACAACAGCGTCATGCAAGCATCGGGCCGCACCGGATCGCTGGAACATTGAAATCACGACGGAACGAGGCGGCCGACGTCGACATCGAATCGGATCGATGGGATCGAAATGGACCTGAAAGGGCAAGAGGGCCCGACCTAAGATCGGAAGAGGGCCAGTCGAAAAGCGTCGGCAAGACCGAGTTCTGGCGAACTCGAGTCTTACATCTCAACGACTGGTTCGTTCGCCTCGAAACTTCCGCAGCACCCGCGCCCGCGCCACGACGGCCTCCGGCCGGCCACGACGATAACGAGGACGACGACGAAGACGGCGATGACGACGACGGCGACGACGACGACGACGAAGACGACGACAGCGACGACGACGACGACGGAGACGACGACAACGGCAACGACGACGACAACGGCAACGACGAAGACGACGACGACGACGACGACGGCGACGACGACGACGACGACGGCGACGACGGCAACGACGACGACGACGACGACGACGACGACGACGACGACGACGACGGCGACGACGACGACGACGACGACGACGACGACGACAGCGGCGCATCGGGGACGTAGTGCCCTGGGTCGATGCAAACCTGGGTCAATCAGACCTTGCAGGATCCTCCATGCAACATCCTGCACGCAAGCCCGGGCCATTGCCCCCCTGGCTCTCGGGGATCCTGCAAGATCTGGCTCTCTGGCGGCACCCCCGATGGCATTGGCCTTCTTCGCGAGGCTCCCTGGGGCCGGCTTCTCCTCACGAGTCGTTATTCGACGGTCCCGAGGTCCAGGAAGGGCCCCGGGCAGGCCGACGAGATCGAAAAACACCCCTCCCGCCGCCATTTTTTTTGACAACGCGAGGGGGTCTGGGACGACCGCGGCGCAGCGCGAGATTCGGACGTTGGCAGAACTGGGCTTAGTGGTACCTGCTTTACTGATGTGTACTGGGGGACGCCCCCCCCCGCCTCGTTCCACTAACCAGAAATGCCGTCACCCGAAAAAACACCAGCTACGGCAAACGCGGTTTTTAGTGACCCTGGCCAATTCAGGGGCTCCGGGGCCCTACCACTCACCAGGTCGGACGAAAGGGGGGGGATAACAAAGGGGAGGTTTGAGAATGAGTTCACGTAGCTGATTTTCCTGGCGCCTCCCGGCGCCGGAGGCGGCCATGTATCGAGGAATGGGCCCCTCGGTGCGGCTGAAACCAGCTGCATGCACCAGATGTTGTAACCCCCCCTTTCCCTATCCCCCCCTTTCGTTCGGCCCGACCACTCACCGAGTCCCCTTCTCCGCAGGGTCTTGGCTATACTTGTGGATGCCACGACACTGGACACCCTAACAGTCATATCATTGAATTCGAAGCGTGTGTAACATGTCGGGAACATGTTCTGACCATGTTTCAAACATGTTTGTTGTACATGTTTAAAACCTGTTGAATACATGCTTTAGACATCTGGAAATCATTTGGAAACATGCTTCCTCTCCTCCACAAATTGTAAGTCCCGGGGGGGTCTGCATCTTTCCCGGAACAAGGGGACCCTGCTGTCCGCGCGAGTCAGTTTGAAGGCAGATGTCAGATCACATTGCGCGGCGAGCTTGCCTCGGCAAGCCGTTTGCCGCGACGTCAGGAGCTGCCTGGACAGCACCTCCCGCGTCGCAGTGCACTGGCCCCCCCGGCGAGGCAGTTAAGAAGTTTTGCAGTGGGCACTGATGGATTGTGGACCACAAGGCTATACCCTCGCCAGCCTGGAACATATCCCTATCCCCATGCTGGGCACCTCCTCATCACGATGCCAATCTTAGGGACTCCCCTGTGTTTTGAGGGCGGATCCCTAAGATTGTCATCGCCCTTTGGCGTGTCAATCTTAGGGATAGGGATAAGTTCGAGGCTGGTAAATATCGGGCCAGGCGAAAGGGGTGGATAGCAAAGGGGGGGTTTGAGAATCAGCTCACGCATCTGAACTCCCAGCGCCGCCCGACGCCGGGAGGCGCCCATGTATCGAGGAATGGGCCCGGCGGCGGGGCCAAAACCAGCTGCATGCAGCAGATTTTGTACCCCCCCCTTTCCCAATCCCCCCCTTTTGCCCGACCCGAAAATACCCCGAGAGGGAGAGCCGCCGGCGGCAGGCGCGTCAGGGGCCTGGACGCGCGCCGCGGGCCTGCTGCCCGCGAGGGTCCAGGGCGTGACCTCCGGCGGCAGGGGCCCCTCTTCCTCCCTCCTCCTCCTCCTCCTCCTCCTCCTCCTCCTCCTCCTCCTCCTCCTCCTCCTCCTCCTCCTCCTCCTCCTCCTCCTCTCTCCTCCTCCCTCCTCTCCTCCTCCCTCCCTCCTCCCCCTCCCTCCCTCCCTCCCTCCCTCCCTCCCTCCCTCCCTCCCTCCCTCCCTCCCTCCCTCCTCCTCCCTCATCCTCCCTCCTCCCTCCTCCTCCTCCTCCTCCTCCTCCTCCTCCCTCCTCCCTCCCTCCCTCCCTCCCTCCCTCCCTCCCCCGCCCTCCCTCCCTCCCTCCTCCTCTCCTCCTCCCTCCTCCCTCCTCCTCCCTCCTCCCTCCTCCTCCTCCTCCTCCTCCTCCTCCTCCTCCTCCTCCGCCTCCTCCTCCTCCTCCTCCTCCTCCTCCTCCTCCTCCTCCTCCTCCTCCTCCTCCTCCTCCTCCTCCTCTTCAGCCCGGGGGCACCCGAGTGGGTCCCCACCCCCGTCACACAGGGGGACCCCCGGGCGTTGGGGTTGGGGTCCCGGGTCTCGCCGCCACGCCGGGACTCCCCTCGGAGCCGGCCACGAGCGCCTGGCCCCCCTTCGGAGCCCGCCACAAAGTGCCCTGCTGGAGCCCCCCTGCTGGGGCGGAGAGGCGTGGAGGCAGGAGGGGGGAGGGGGCGGGAGGAGCCGGGAGAGAACCGGGAGGCGGAGGAAGACGGGTGCGCGGCCGGGGAGTCTGCGCCACCCAACTGCCCCCGTTGGGCGCACGCACACCCGCCTGAGGCAAGGAGCGGGGAAGGAGAGAGGGGAGGAGAGAGGGAAGGAGCGAGGAAGGAAGAGAGGCGAAGCGGCGGCCAGAGAGGGGCAGGCAGAGGCGAAGGGGGAGGAGGGGAGAAGGCGGCGCAGGAGGCAGTAGCCCGGCGTGCCGCGCTCAGTGTGCGCCCAGTTCCAGCTAGCGGCCTGGCCCCGGCCAGTAGTCAGTCTGGCGCCGCCGCCTGGGCGAGCCGCTCCCCGCGGCGTCAAGCCAGCCCGGCTGCTCGGCGGCGCTGCAGCGCCAGCTGAGCCTGCACGGCGCAGCTGATGGCCTTGTAGGCCCGCGTCAGCTCGCCGGGCTGCTGGTCCTCCGGCAGCGTGCGCACCTGCCGCAGAAGCCACTGTCGGGCTTCTCCGCCTAGGCGCCCCGGGGTTTCCACCACGAACGGCGTCAGTCTGTCCCCCGGGTACCTGGCGTGTTTCTGGCGCTCGCCTCTCCGGGCGGCCTCGCCAGGCCTGCGCGCCGCCGCCTGCGCCACGTCCTCGGCTGCCGGGTGGCGGACCGAAACATCGATCCAGTGGCGGCTGGCCCCGTCGCTGTACTCGACGTCCAGGATTGCGCGTTCGAGGAGGTCTGCGTCTGGCGGGTCTGCCGGCCGCCGGTTGCGGACACGGTCCCAGGCCGGCACCCGCTGCTCCGTCAGCGGCTCCTGGTGCAGCCAGCGGCGGACCAGGCCGGCCACCGCGTTTTCGAGGCTGCCGTGGCGGCGCTCCACACCGCCGCCCAGGGTGCAGGTGGCCGCGTGCGTGCCTTGCTCGTCCAGCGGCTGCCCGCAGGGCGCGCCGCGGGCTCCCTCGGCGGCAGGGCGGTTCTGGCAGGACTGCGCAGCCGTCTGGAGCTCTGCCTGCGCGCATTCAGGCCTGGGCAAGTGCGCGCGGGCACGGAGCCCCGTGGCCCAGAGCGCGTCCTCCAGCGAGCAAGCGGGATCGCTCGGGTAACCGAGGAACCCCGCGGCCCCTGGCCCTCCGGCCCCCAGGAGCGTCGCCCGCTCGTGGCTGTGCAAACGCTGCCTCAGGGAAGCGTGGGTTTTCTTTTGCACAGCTTGCACGAGAGTGCTCTGCTTCGCCGGGTGCTGCAGGGCGTCCAGCAAGGAAGCGCCCGGGGCGGGGTCCGCGCCCTGGAGGGAGAGCTCCGTCCGCGCGTCGGAGAGGGTTTCGCCGAGTCGCGGCGCCGCCTCCAGGAGCTCGAGCAGGGAGTCGGTGCCGAGGTCCGCGGCCACGCTGGACACGCAGGCGGTCCAGCCGGCCCAGAAGGCCGCGGCTCGTCGTGTTGTCGCCCACTGCAGCCCCGCGCCAGAGAGCTTGAGGGGGAGGCCGAGGATCTCCCGCGCTGCGGCGTCCAGGGGCCTCCCTGCGAGCTCCTCCCAGTAGCCCGCCAGAGTGGCGTCGTAGCGAGCCGCCTCCGCCTCGCCAGCCAGCTGCGCGCGCAGGGCGTGCTGGCTCGCAGCGCCCGCGTAGGTGCGCAGCAAACTCCCAGTCGCCTGCAGCGAGAGGCCGTGCTCGCCAACCGTGCGCTTCCCAAGCGGCCGGAGGGCGTTCCAGAGCTGCGTCAAGCGCCCAGCGGACTGCTCAAGGCCGCTGTTCTGGCCCAGCTCGAAGGGCGCGTCGGCCACGTCGCCCCGCGCCCGCAGGTGTGCACCGAGCACGGGGAGTGCTGGCACGAAGTACGCGCGTAGCTCTGGGGGCACAACCTGCGGCCCAGTCGGAGACCATACCTGCGTCTTTGCGGCGTTGAGCTCCAGCCCGAGGGGCTCCAGGAGCTCCCCCAGGCGGCGGAGGGCGGCCGTGGCGAGCCCCGCTGGGAGCACCAGGTAGGTGTCGTCCAAGTAGGAGTAGAGTCTCACGTCTGGCTCCTCCTCCCCTCCTCCTCCTCCTCCTCCTCCTCCTCCTCCTCCCTCCCTCCTCCTTCCTCCCCCTCCTCCCTCCTCCTCTCCTCCTCTCCCTCCTCCTCCTCCTCCTCCTCCTCCTCCTCCTCCTCTTCCTCCCTCCTCCCTCCTCCCTCCTCCCTCCTCCCTCGGGCTCCCCCGCGGCTCCCGCGGGTGCGCCGGCGCCTCCCGCGGACCGAGCAGATTACCAGCCTCGAACGTATCCCTATCCCGAAGATTGGCACGCCAAGAGGCGGCGACAGTCTTAGGGATTCGCCCTCAAAACATAAGGAAATCCCTAAGATTGGCATCGTGATGAGGAGGTGCCCAGCATAGGAATAGGGATATGTTCCAGGCTGGTGATGCTGCTTCCAGCGTGCTTGGTAGGAACAAGGACAGGCGACAGCAACACCAACAGGGCGAGGAGGTGCGCGGAGGCAAGGGGGGTCTCCCTGGTGGTGTGGTCCCCCCCTCGCGCTCGAGACATCCCCAGTATCCCGCTCGGGGAGGCATTGTGGACCTCCTCGCTGGAGGTGGGCCCCCTGGTGGCGTTGGTATCGCTTCTCCTCCCTCCGAACTTGAGGACCACGTCTCAGAAATCATCCCGAACACCCAGCAGAGTATCGAAACCGTGTGGAGCGAGTATCGCCTCCCAGGGCCCGACACGTGAAAGCCCTCTGGTTTCGGTACTACTTTTGGCGCTCCGCGCAGAGTTCCTGGATCTGCGCTGGACCCCCCTCCCTGGCGCGCGGAGCGCGCCAGGGGCCGCGCTGGAGGCGCCGCAGGGGAAGCCCAGCGCGGATCCAAGACATCCGCGCGGAGCGCCAACAGTTTATGTTGATAGCGTATTCTCTTCTTCGAGCGCCCCACGTAGACGACGTAGACTTAGGTCGGGCGTGTCCCCCTACAGACGGATTTTGGACAAATTACCCTGGCGACGTACCCAACCCCTGCGCAAAAGCGGGGCGCAAATAGTTTTGGATACTTTATAAGGGGGCGATGACGGAGCGAGGGTTGCATATGTCTGCAGACGGAATTCGGGAGACTCGCAGGACACTGGCTACAGGAAAAGGGCTTGATAAAGCTGATGAGTTACAATTCCTGGGCACTCCTAGCCACTTCGAAAATGGTGATCACAGCAGGCCTCGAAAGTGGCGACAGTTTCACAGATCGCAGCCCCGCAGGGATGGCGAGGTCTAATTTGGGTCCGCGCGTGGCGTCACTGTGCTGGGCCCCCCAGCAGGCCTCGAAAGTGGCGACAGTTTCACAGATCGCAGCCTCCAGGGGATGGCGAGATCTCATTTGAATCTGCCCGTGGCGTCACTGCGCCGGGCCCCTCAGCAGGCCTCGAAAGTGGCGACAGTTTCACAGATCGCAGCCCCCAAGGGATGGCGAGGTCTCGTTTGAATATGCCCGTGGCGTAACTGTGCAGGGCCCCCCAGCAGGCCTCGAAAGTGGCGACAGTTTCACAGATCGCAGCCCCCCCAGAGATGGCGAGGCCTAATTTGAATCCGCGCGTGGCCCTCACTGTGCTGGGCCCCCCAGTAGGCCTCGAAAATGGCGACAGTTTCACAGATCACAGCCCCCCAGGGATGGCGAGGTTTCAGAGGAATCTGCCCGTGGCGTCACTGTGCTGGGCCCCCCAGCAGGCCTCGAAAGTGGCGACAGTTTCACAGATCGCACCCCCCCAGGGATGGCGAGGTCTAATTTGAATCTGCCCGTGGCCCTCACTGTGCTGGGCCCCCCAGCAGGCCTCGAAAATGGCGACAGTTTCACAGATCGCAGCCCCCCAGGGATGGCGAGGTCTAATTTGAATCTGCGCGTGGCGTCACTGTGCTGGGCCCCCCAGCAGGCCTCGAAAATGGCGACAGTTTCACAGATCGCAGCCCCCCAGGGATGGCGAGGTCTAATTTGAATCTGCCCGTGGCCCTCACTGTGCTGGGCCCCCCAGCAGGCCTCGAAAATGGCGACAGTTTCACAGATCGCAGCCCCCCAGGGATGGCGAGGTCTAATTTGAATCCGCGCGTCGCCCTCACTGTGCTGGGCCCCCCAGCAGGCCTCGAAAATGGCGACAGTTTCACAGATCGCAGCCCCCCAGGGATGGCGAGGTCTAATTTGAATCCGCGCGTGGCCCTCACTGTGCTGGGCCCCCCAGCAGGCCTCGAAAATGGCGACAGTTTCGCAGATCGCAGCCCCCCAGGGATGGCGAGGTCTATTTGAATCTGCCCGTGGCCCTCACTGTGCTGGGCCCCCCAGCAGGCCTCGAAAATGGCGACAGTTTCGCAGATCGCAGCCCCCCAGGGATGGCGAGGTCTAATTTGA